GTGTTTGGACCAGTGAGCTAGTGTTTGGACCAGTGTTTGGACCAGTGGACCAGTGTTTGGTCCAGTGAGCTAGTGTTTGGACCAGTAGACCAGTGTTTGGACCAGTGGTTGGATCAGTGGACCAGTGCTTGGATCAAAAATGAGCCATATCAGATCTTCACTGTCAACCGTTTTAAGCAAAAAAATTTACCAAATTAGACCTAAATTGACCTCTGTTTAAGGATGTAAATAGTAAAGGTAAAGCAGTTAAACCAACTTCGGAAAATAGTATTTAACCTGGTTGTCAACAACTTCAGTTTGCACAAAACCGTGAGTTTGGGCTCCTAAAAAAAAATCACTGGTTGGTGCCAACTAGCTGAGACTAATAGTGGTTAGTAACAACTAATCAGCACTAGCCCACGTTGTAATTATCTAATAAAACAGATTTTGAGTTGCTCTTTTTAACTCATCTTTTTAGTAGTACTAATTCAAGAAATATGTCTTTTTGGTGATGCAATTAGCGAGAAACTCAGCTCTACACATCTGGATAGTTGACCATAGTTTTCACTCTGGGTGACTTGTCACTAATGTGTTGCATCTCCTTTCAGGCTCTGCCCTACGTAGCATTGCTTATAGTGATGCTCTTCTTCATTTACGCAGTCATTGGCATGCAGGTAAGCTGTTGCCTCGTTCCCTGGAGCTCCTTGTTTCTATTTCCTATTAATCTTTCTGGTGCAACTAGCCCTTCTTGTTTACCAGAGTTTCTGTTTGGCCATCAATCTCCACTTTTCTTCCTTCTATTGTTTTCAAGTTCTTTGACTCTTCTCTATCGCGTGTTGTGTAATTAATTTTTCTAATAATCATTGGGAGACTCTGATTTAACTTTCTGTATACTGTTGATACACTAATCTTGACCTCATTTTCTGTGCAGATGTTTGGTAAGATAGCTCTGCGGGACCACACGCAAATCAACAGGAACAACAATTTCCAGACATTCCCTCAGTCGGTGCTGCTGCTCTTCAGGTGAGAAAATCATAATCCTCGTTTAGCATCATTATTTTAAACATTTAGACTATAAGAGGGACAACTGAGGAAATTTAACATAAGTGAATACTAAAAATTTAAATCTAAAATTTGTCTAAGAAACGTTGGTTACGTACTGTAACCCCAGATTCTATGAGTATAGGCTTCGCCCTTTAAGGCCCTCGCTAGTGGGTTTATCCCGTCATGCAAAGCATCGCACTGAAAAGTTTAGTCCACGCCCACCTGTTGTGTGGGCCCCACCCAGTCCGTATAAATTACGTTAAGAGCGGGTAATCGGCTCCCAAATAGCTCTTTCTTCAGCCATTTAGGAGCCAGTGAGGCCCGGCGCTTAAAGGGCTACGCCTAAACTCATAGAATCTGGGGTTACAGTACATAACCAACATTCTATTTCGTATAGGCTTCGCCCTTTAAGGCCCTCACTAGTGGGTTAAAAGGCGAAGCATGATGTGGTCCTCGCCTCACTGGGTCCATTCGAACACCATATGAAGCGCCTGCTTGCCCAAAATATGTCATGTCACTCAGCTCTCCATGTGCGTAATTGAGTGTTGCGTAATTATGCCTACTATGCACAGACGCGTGCTGCGTAGTTATGCGTTCTGAGTGCATGAACGCCCCAGAAAAGTTTTCAACGGGGAAAAAGAAGAGGCTGAAAAGGGCAGTGAACCAAGCAGATCCACGGTTCTTCAATATGAACAGATTAATAATAATAAGTGAACTGATTATTAATCAAATGAACTGATTGGTAACAATAGTCATAAACTGATTAGTGACAATAGAACAAGAACAACAGTCACAACCTGTGACTGATAACATCTCACACGTAAATGCATCTGAGATGCGAGTTTACACGAGATTCCATGAAACAACAATATTCATTCTGTTAAGGCACTAAGGACAGAATGCGTCATGGAATAAGCCGACATATCACGTAAATAGAAGCGAATAAATGAACAGGGTGTTGACCACGTGGCCGCAGTGCAAATATCCTGCATTGTCATACCATTATGCAAAGCAGTTGAAGATGCAATACCCCTGGTCGAGTGCGCCCTGAGGTTATCAGGAGGCTCTAAATCTGATGCTCTGTAGGCTTCAGAAATGGCCTCACACAGCCAGTGTGACATGCGCTGTGTGGATAACGGGTGACCTGCAGATGCATCTCTTTAATGCACAAACAAATGTTGAGTCTGACGCATTGCGGAAGTGCGTGCTATGTAGCACATCAACGCACGCACAGGACAGAGAAGTTGGAAAGATGCTTCTTCTAATTTGGGGGGGGGGGGGCCTCCAACGATATCGCTCTTGATTTAAAAGAGCTTGTGATGTTTTAAGGCATAAATGCTGGGTTAGGTCTCAGATCACCTGAGTTGCCATCAGCCTGAATTCTGAGACATGACGGAGCGACAGAAAGGGCAGATAAATCACTCACCCTCTTAGCGGATGTTAAAGCCAGCATCAGGGCTGTTTAAAGAGACAAGAATTTAATTGGAACCTGATTCAGTGGCTCAAATGGAGCTTTGATCAGGGCTCGCAGAACCAACGTTAAATCCCCCTATGGAGCAAGTGGGCATGAAACAGGCCTGCGTCTCTGTACACCTTTTAAAAAACGCTTCATCAGCAGATGATTAAAAGCTGTTCTGTCCCCGAAACCTTTGTGTCAAGAAGAGATGGCTACAGCGTACGTTTTAATCGTGCTGAATGCCAGATTTCTGTCCATCAGCTGCTGCAGAAAGGACAGCATGCCACCTAGTGGACATGAGGTGGCCTCTACACCTTTCGCTGTACACCAGCACTGAAAAAGCTGTCCACTTTGATGTGTACAGCGCTGTGGTAGATGCAGCACGTGAATCCTGGATCGTACGCACTACATCTTGAGAGAAACCCATCCTCTCCAAACGGAACCATTCAGCGGCCAAACCCAAAGGTGCTGGCTTATTTCTGGGTAACTCCTGATCCCTCCTCTCACCTGGAGGAGAGCGTCCTCCCTCCACGGCAGTTTCCACGGGCGCCCCAATAACAGGCGTCATAGAATTGGGAACCATGGTGCGTTCACACGCTCGGGAGCCACCAGGAAAGCTGTCAATCCCTCCTCCTGAACTCGGTTCAGAAAACCATGATATCAGAGGGAGTGGAGGAAATGCGTAAAGAATCATTTTGGGCCACGGGCTGTGAGCAAACGCGTCCACCCCTAGCGGTGGTTCGTCTCGCAGGCTCAGTGAGAACCATAGTTGACACTGAGCGTTCTCTCGTGTTGCAAACAGGTCCATGGCCGCTTTGCCAAATTTCTGCCACGTCTGAGCCATCAGCTCTGGATGTGGGGTCCCGTCCCCGTGACGTGGACCGCCCCTGGACATCACATCTGCCCCTTTGTTCAGAACACCGGGGATGTACACTGCTCTGATGGAGAGCAGATTTTGATGTGTCCAACACAGCAACCGTCTCGCAATGTGTAACACTTGGGCTGAGCGCACACACCCCTGCCGGTTTATGTATGCTGCAGTCACTTGTTGACTGTGTGAATCAACACATATTGATTCCGGAGCACAGAGGCAAAGTGTTGAATCACATACAAAACAGTGCAACCTTCCAGAACGTTTAAATGAGCTGTTGTGTGAGGTGGCCACAGCGCCCTTACAGCTCGGGATAGGCATGTTCCCCCCAACCTGACAGGGACGAGTCTGTGAAGATTGACACGTGGACTCCCTCCGACAGAACCAGGGGTTTCCCCAGTGTCGGAGGTCTGTTCTCATGGAGGGAGGTACAGCGATCATCTGTTTCTTCTGCTTTACCGGATCCACACGCAGACGAGCAAAACATCTCTGGAGGCGTCGCATGTGGAGTAAGCCCAGCGGAACCACTGTGTAAGCTGACAACATTATCCCTAACAGCTTCCTGACGGGAATGGCTGTTACCACTCTGCCAGGCCTTACGTGGCGGAGCTGGTCTTTTAGAGTTTTGATTCTCATCTGTGATAAACAAGCCCTCATGGTGATCGAGTTAGCTCCACTCCAGATAAACCATCGTCTGGGCCGAGAGAATCAAGCTTTTCTCCCAATTTATGGCGAAGCGCAGATTTAACAGGTGTGACGTCAGCACCTGGATCCGCGCTGCTGCTTCCTGTCTGGAACAGTCAGCAGCAACAACTCGTCTAGGTAAAATAAAGTTCTCATCCTTGCTCTGTGTAACGGTTGATCGGGATGTGGAAGTAGGCGTCTTTCAGATCAATGGAGATAAATCAATCATTTCACTGAATGTTATCCAACCGCTGTCTGGTTGTCAACATGTGAAACTGTGTTCCTTGAGCTGTGGTGATTCTGGAAAATAAAAAAAACTGTTTTGAGGACACTGGCTCGTTTGTGTGGAGGATGTGTGAGGAGAAGCCGTTGTGAGGTCATTCGAACTGACAGACAGGCTGAATCAGACACTTTAATCTTTGAATGATGTTTGTGTTTTATTTCAAAACTCCTGTCATCATTTGCACACATACATCTCCCACAAGGAGTCATTCCTGAATCGTCTCCCCCGTGAGCCCTGTGGTTTGTTATCCCAGGGCGCCGCCTGTTGGCGATCTCTGGGAAACGCTGAACCGCTGGTTGCCAGGATGAGAAGGGCTGTTCTCTGACGGGCGGGGCTGGCGGCGGAGTGGGAGGACGCTGCTGCAGCTGTGGAACATCTCTGTTTGCTGTCTTTGGCCACGATGATCCTTCCAGCGGGCCGGGGGGCGGGATGAGGCGTGCGGCTTGGTCAGATGGTGCACAGTCTCCAACACCTCCTCCAGCTTTTTCGATTTCTCGAGCATGTCCTTGAAAATTGGCTCCGAACAGCGCGTCCATCATGATGGGGCCTTCCAGCGAGTCCATCTGCAGCTTCTCCGACAGGGAGGGGGAGTGACAAGCCAGGTGGACCTCTGAACCATTGTCATCCAGGCTGCGATGCGAGACAGGCAGACAGCAGATGAGGCACACGGGTTGAGGGTGACGTCAGACGCCCTGCAGAGGGAGCTCTTCATCTCCTCAGGCAGGTCTGTCCCTCCGGCCTCTGAGATGCTGTACGTCAGCGGCGAAACGTTATTGTTCGCTGCGGCCGCCTGGAACGCGTACTGGTGAGCTCGGTTGGAAAGCGACGTCATCGTCTGGTCATGCCTCCCTGGAGGCGCAGGACGCTGGTCTAACCTAGACATCTTTGTTCCGAGAGCCTCCACCAAGCTTGGCTCCGGGGGGTCACCGAGGGGATTTCCGCTCGGTAAAACCCTCCACTCTGTTGATGGGCGCAAATGTGGAAACCAGCGCTCTCAGTCTACCAGGTCCGGCTGCAGCCTCGTTCCACTAGAACGTCACTCCTGGGAAACAAGGCCAGATGGGATCAGGACGGCGAGCCGGGGTGGAGTCAAAAAACCTTCCCGCTAGATCATCCGATCTGGGCGGGGGAAGGAGAGGGACGGAAAAAAGTCCCTTCATGTCAGCCGCCTCCTGGATTTTGCCAGGCAACTCCGAGAGGAGGGCACCAACGGTTGGGAGCGGTGTGGTCGCCGATGCAAAAAGGCCCGGGGGGGTGAGCATTTGTTCAGCCCCCCTTGTTCCGACACTAGGCTCTCCAGGAGGGAGTGAGCAGCGGGGGCTGCTGCTGACGTCGCCTGTCCCAGAGGAACCATCCGATTCGCTCCGAGAGTCGGCGATAAAAGGAAAAAAGGGTCGATGGCGTCGTTCAGCGTGTAGAGACCCACCACTGAGAAATATTCCTTGGCGCTTACCTTGAAACAAGGCTGCTCGTCTGCTTCTCCTCGGGGAGAACTCACCGGGACGGCAGGAGGTTGGCGTGGCGGGACCCCAGGCAGCCTTAACAAAGGTTGTGCCGGTCAAGCTGGACAACTTCCCTTCTTTGTTCTTCTGACAGTGCTATTAGCTTGCTGACGAAAAATGGGAGCCGATTACCCGCTCTTAACGTAATTTATACGGACCGGGTGGGGCCCACACAACAGGTGGGCGTGGACTAAAACTTTTCAGTGCGATGCTTTGCATGACGGGATAAACCCACTAGTGAGGGCCTTAAAGGGCGAAGCCTATATGAAATGGAATCCAAAATTGACACAAAACACCAAAAAGCTGATACAAAGACCCCAGTATTACAACGATATGTGTGTCATTTTCACCATGGTTGATAAAAATCATGACAGATTTGCTACAGGCTTCTGTTCAGGTGAACATCAACTTTGAAATAATTACAAAGAATTAAGCCATTTAATGTTTTAGCTTTTACTTTTATATGTGATTTACACCAAGCAAAGTGTCAAATTTCAATAGGTAAAGAGTTACACGCCTTTACAATGACATTAGATAAAGTCACAAAATTGTTCATGAAAACATATGATGTTAAGCACAAATCAACACAATGGAGCATTTTTTTGTTTGTGTTTCTGAGTTTATTTTGTAACTGTATATGTCTCTGCATGCATGTGTTTTGCAATGGGTTCATCTGTGCTTTAGATGTGCGACAGGTGAAGCGTGGCAGGAGATCATGCTGGCATGTTCACCCAATCGGCCGTGTGAGAAGGGCTCGACCAACGAAAACAGCACGGCCAGCGAGGACTGCGGCAGCCAATTCGCCATCATTTACTTCGTCAGCTTCTACATGCTTTGTGCCTTTCTGGTCAGTACAGAAGATCGAACAAGGAGGATTTAAGTGGGAAAGAAAACATTTAATTTAATCTTTTTAAATCATAATTTTACAGATATTAATGTCAGGCACAGTAACTAACTGATTCTTGTGCTTTCTCAGATCATCAACCTGTTTGTGGCTGTCATCATGGACAATTTTGACTACCTGACGCGTGATTGGTCAATTCTGGGGCCGCATCACCTTGATGAGTTTAAGAGAATCTGGGCTGAATATGACCCAGAAGCTAAGTAGGTTTACAGAGAGCAGATCAAGTGTGCTGTTGCTGCATTTAAATAGTGTTTACAGTGAGACCTCTGTGTTTTCAGGGGGAGGATTAAACATTTGGATGTGGTCACTCTGCTACGAAGAATCCAGCCTCCTCTCGGCTTCGGAAAGCTCTGTCCACACAGGGTGGCATGCAAGGTAAAAACGGTCCCATAAATTCTTTAAAATGTTTGTTGTTTAGGAAATCACTAGCATTATTTTTAACTGTGTGTCACTGCGAGCTGATGTTTTTCTGCTTCATCTCATGTAGCGGTTGGTGTCAATGAACATGCCTCTGAACAGCGATGGAACCGTGATGTTCAACGCCACGCTGTTTGCTTTGGTCAGAACAGCACTCAGGATCAAAACAGAGGGTAACGATTCAAACACAACACTTTTAAGATACACCTGCACTGTATGTACACAAAATTTAAACCGTGTCTCACAAGACAATATGATGTAATTAAGATACTTTTCAGGTTAGATGGAAATAAATGCATTTTGCTATTGACCATTGATCTTGAATACTTGCTTTTCTATTCATTAGAGACATTTTTTTTAAATAAGGTCATGATTTTCAGATGTTTAAAGCATGTTTACCAACAACACAACGTTGAGCTAATGACTTAAGTTTGTATTTCAAGGCAAACGTTATAAAAAACGAGTTCTCCACCACCATCATACAAAAAATGTGTCAGTCACGTCTAAAAGAGAAGCCTTTTTAAAACCGACAGTGTGCGTGTTACCTGTGCAGGTAATCTGGAGCAGGCAAATGAAGAACTGAGAGCAATTGTGAAAAAGATCTGGAAAAGAACCAGCATGAAGCTCTTGGATCAAGTAGTGCCCCCTGCTGGTGGTGTGTATATTGTTCAACTCATGTACAAAAACAAAAATAAAGTCTAGTATATTAATTAACAGTACCCAATTATATTTGTATATATATTTTTCCAGATGATGAGGTAACAGTCGGAAAGTTTTACGCCACCTTCCTCATCCAGGAATATTTCCGCAAGTTTAAAAAGAGGAAAGAACAAGGACTGGTGGCCAAGGTGCCCCCCAAAACTGCCCTTTCTCTGCAGGTACATTTAACCAAAACTTATTTTAGGGCAAGACAATCAGACAACTATGTTTAAATAATTCCTTAGTGATATTTAGAAGAGTTATTTTGGTGAATGAAGAATAAAACAAGCAACACTTGATGGTCTGTGTGTAGGCGGGCCTGCGGACGTTGCATGACATCGGTCCAGAGATTAGGAGGGCGATCTCTGGAGACCTGAACGTGGAAGAGGAGCTGGACAAAGACCTGAAGGAGCCCGTGTCAGCAGCGTCCGAGGACGATATCTTCAGGGTAAAGGTTGGATACACACACCCCCACTCACTCTCCGGAGAGAAAAAGACATATGTGATCGGCGCCAGCTTGAAGCTTCATACACATGTACACGCTTGCATGTGCTGAAAGTGTTGAAAACGCTTGAGAAAAATGCATGTCCTACATATAACCCCAGTTCCAAAATGTTTGGGATGTGTGTAAAATGTAAATTAGAAAATGCAATGATTTGCAAATCTCATAAACTCATTCAGCATTGTTTACCAATATTAAAACTAAGAAACCTTACCATTGTTCCAGAAAAAGAAATGGATCATTTTGAGTTTTAAGGCAGCAAAGCATCTTAAAAGCAACAGTAGTGCCAATCTTTTTAAAGTATTTCCAGTTTTCCATTGAAGAACAAAATTCAAAATGTTTTCATTATTTGCATACTAGAGAACCTCTGCCCATCTTTACTACTTAGACCTTTCTAAAAAAGTTTTTTTAATTTTATTTTACCTAGCCCTCTCAATGATCTGTTACCAAATCTAATTATTTACAAAATCCTCCTCCTGCGGTTTCTTACTCATACTTTTAACCATTTTTTTAATGTACAATTTCAAAGGTTAAACGTTTATTATGATTACTATTCGCATTATGAATAAAATAACAAAATTTGCAAATCATTATCTTTTTTCATTCATATTTTACACAACACCCAAATGTTTTCTGAACTGGGGTTGATGCTTGACTGATTTTATTGCACACGTTGAGTTTTAGAGTTAGGATTTGGACAAATTAAAATAACAAGCACAGACATATTAAAACAATTAGTGGGACAAATGTAGGTTTTAAACACATTACTATAATCATACACTTATCTGCATTTTCTCCAAGAAGGTGAGTTCAGCCTTTCATTTTTACCATCCATGCTCTTTTCATTTTCTCTATTTTGGTTGTTGAAGCATTTTTTTTTTTTTTTTTTACATTAATGCAGAACAAAGTGAAATATTTATATTTTATGTACCAACTATGAATGAGTTGCTCCTCTTGTGCCTCACTTTTAATAGGATTTATTGATAATATTTTGCTGCTGTGCTTGGTTAATGACTGAAGGCCTTTGCTTTGCACTTTCATGCTTCAGTAAACTTTTATAGCTGTAATTATGACCACATACTATAAGTGTTTTGATTTTAACTAGATTTGATCTATTTCTCACTGTGCAGCGTTCTGGTGGCCTGTTCGGCAATCATGTCAACTACTACAACCAGAGTGATGGCCGAGGGTCCTTCCCACAGTCCTTCACCACCCAGCGTCCCTTGCACATCAGCCAAAAGGGGTCCCCGTGCAAAGGCGAGAGCCCGTCTCATGAGAAACTAATGGACTCAACCACCTTCACCCCTTCCTCTTACTCCTCATCAGGCTCAAACGCCAACATTAACAATGCCAACAACACCGGCATGACGGGAGTGGTAACCCAGGGCGGCAGTCGATTCCCGAGCCCGTCTATAAGCACCGTGGACGGCCATAGTGGGCAGCCACTCACCCCCATCCTGCTGCCAAAATCTGCATGGTGCTTCCCTCCAAAGAGGTGAGAGTCAAACAACCTGGCAAAACATCAGCCTCCCACAAAATCAGTTCTTTTTTTCTAACACACCCTTGAAATTTCTCGTTCAAAAAATTGACACTTCCTTGTGGACATAAATATCTTCCCTGTTTCGTTCCATTTTTTTAATGACCTGCTTTTTCTCCGTTTCCTGTTTTTTTTATGTGGCAAACAGGATGTTTTATGACACCCTCATGCGGTATGTTACCAGGGGACAGAGAGAGAATGTGTGTGCGTTCTGTTGGTTCCCAAATTGTGCAGACAAAGATCTCATGATGCTATACAAGCCATAGCTGTCAAGGTGCAACAGGCACACTTACTGCTATGCCCATTATGCTTCAGTTGCAACAGCAAAATCCAGGCTTCATGCTGCAACGAAAACATTAAAGCCATAGATTATCTGTTTGGTGCATTGTGTCCATATTCCTCCTAGCATGGGCTGCTGCTCTTTTATTGCAGATTACGGCACATCTGGGTTAGACTCAATATCAGTTGTAGAAACCTGGGTAAACATCTGAAAGCTCATACTTCTAATCTCTAGTCCCAGAGCAGAAAGAATGTTTGCTATGTAATTTTAGTTAATATGGTTTTAAAAAAATTGTAGCACTCTGTTTATTCTTGTGATGGCGTTGCTCTGTTTAATGCAAACATCCAAGAAAAGCACCAAATGTTCTATATTTAAAGTTTGTAATCCAAGATTAGGTGCTTTATCAAACGCAAACCAAAGTCTAAACTTTCAGATTATTTTTATGTTCTATTCATTTAACAACAGGTTACCTTTCACTGAGGACTGATTATCAACGACAGTATGAGTCAGGTTTTATTAAACATTCATTTAACCCAAAGTTCGCTTGTGGAGCCCTTAAAAATCGGATGAAATAATCTTCAGTCTTTTATTTTTGGGGGAAACTTACTGATTTTTTTCACCCGAGGCTTTTAGAAGTTTACATTTTGTTTGGAGACATGTAGATGCAACAACCCCAGCATTTTTTGTTTTTTTTGTAAGAGTTTCGGAGTAAACAATAAGTTATAAACTACTCATATTCCTACTGACGTTATCTAGAGTGTTGTAGAAATAAAAATTACTCACATTCTTTGACTTTATCAACCTCCACTGTATGTTGAAGTACCAACAACTCCATATCAGAAGATCCTGAGATAGTTTGTATGTCATTAAATATCATATAAACTTAAATTAGTTGATTTTTTTTCTCTATAACTTCATTTAATTAGTCATTTTTCATCTAATCCTAAATTTCAGGGCTGTAACACTTTCCCAAACAGTTCCCAATCCTGGTCCTTGAGGAACACGATCCTGCATGTTTTAGTTGTTTCCCTGCTCCAACACACCTGATTCAGAGATTTAATTACTTCCTCATGTTTTGCAGGACTGTCAATTACCAACTAATTAAAATCAGGTGTGTTGGAGCAGAGAACTAAAACATGCAGGATGGTTTTCCTCAAGAATCCCTGGTTTAGAACAAGTACTGCTGCTGTTGCAGCTACTACTACTACTTATAATAGAAATAATCATGAAAAAATTAGCAAACGATCTCCTTTTCACCAACAAATGTGCCAACATTTTACAAAGACACTTTTGAGTGCATCCTATAGTAATTGGGGTGAGAAAAGCTGAGTTTCGTTGGCATCTCATTCCCCCTTTTTTCAGAGTGAGATGCAAAGTGAAAGCCCATATTGAGAGAACTGCTCACATGCCTCCCATCGTTGATTGATTTCCCATCATCTGAGAGAAAAAAAATCCCTTTTGAATCATGAAAAAACAAAACCTACAATGTCTATCTACCAGTATTGGTATTAAGGTTGCTTAATTCCCAGTAACATTAAACAAAAAGTGGCAGGCCAAGCTGGACACTGGTGATCTTTCATCCCGTCTAACTAGTCCTCACCAACAAATGTAACTAGACACACAACCAGAAGCCTGGAGTTGAAGTCATGATGGAGGAGCGCCCTCTGGTGGCTGGACACAGTACATATCATTAAGTCCAGCCTCTGAATGTGAGATTTTCTTGACTTAAAAATAAAAATACAGCAGATAATTTATTGTTGACTCACGTAATTCATTCCTTGCTGTATGCTCAATTGATTCCTGGTGCGCACATTCTGGATCCAAAAATACAACTTGGTCAAACACATGAATTAAGTATTTTAACTTCAAATTTGGCCACATGAAGTTAATGGTGTCTGTCTACCTGACTTTATGTTGATTGACATAACATGATGTAAATAATTATTTAACCAAAATGCTTTAACAATCCTGTTGTGTTGCTCTTTTCAAGACTAATTTGAAGAATAATAAGATCAAAAGGCACAGTATGGCAGGGTATGTCTCTAAAAGCACTTTTCAAAAACTTTCTCATAAAATGAAGGGAAATTAAATAACTTGTGTTTAAACAATTTAATGAATACAATCTATAACAATATAAAAGTCAAAGAATCACTATGAATTTATGTTAATCTTGATATATTTTCCCCTGCAAATTAAACTTATATGGGATTTTATTAAGGAAACATTTGCTGCCATGTGCTCCTTGTTTTTTAAATCACTCATCATATTCCAGGTTTCGTCTTGAGTGCTTTTTATAATTTTTGCTTTAACTAAACAGCAGTAAACTTGCTTCGCTGCAGGCTTCTTCATCTCCTCCAGTCATATCTTACATGCATAGCTAAGCCGCTCTTGGTTTCTTCCTATGAAGCTCCTTGCAGAATTTTTGCTAATCAGCTGCTTTTTTTCTGTTTTACATAAGTTTTGACCGTTTGTCTACATGTGCCTCCATCTGTGCTGTGTATTTATGTTAACTTTGTGCTTTTATTTGTGTGCTTGCTTGTTTGGTTGTTTGCCCATGTACTTGTAGCTCGGAGTCAAGTGACAGTCATCTGCCAATCATCCAGAGAGGGGAGGGGTCCACAGAGGAGACGTACGATGAGAGCTATGGTGACGACAGGGAGTACCAGGAAGATGACCACTCACTTTCTTCTGACATGTACTGCTGAGAAACATTCACAGTTTAGTCTTCATCTTAAATGTTTTAGCTCACAAGGTTGACCTCATCTCCTCGTTTGTGTGCACCTATTAGGTTGGTGTATCACGATGAAACATGCAAACAGCTGGCTCCCATGGAGGAAGCAGAAGAAGTAGAGGAGCAAAGAAGAGGACGAGGATGGCAGTCTCCGCGAAGAGTCTTCCTCTGCCCAACAACTCTGGGTGAGAAGATTCACATGGATTTTTTTGTCATTCAACCTGTATTTATACAGGTTAGTCTCGTTGAGTCACGAGGACTCATTTACAAGAGACCTGTTCTAGACAGACAACATAGAAGGTACAGACGACAAAAAACTACAGTAAAAATTCAATTAAAATAAAAGTAGTGTTAGAAAACAATAGATCAAGGTGCTGTGAAACAACGTAAAATACTAAAAACAAGAACATATTTGCTTTGATGTTTCTGTTGACCTTATCAAATGTTTAAAACCCCATAAAGAAATTAAGGAGGGCACCTTCAGTTCTTGTTGCAAGGTGTTCCAGGTTACAGTTCAGGCCGCACTGAGGGAACGCTGCAGGTAATGATGGCCTGAGAGCGCACGCTGTAACTGCACTGACGAGGTGATAAGTGGGAGGACATATAAGAAGGTAGCAGACCAAGGAGGGATTTATAGATGAAAATGAATCAGTGTGAGAGCATACGTGTCGACAATGATGACCAACTGACCAATGAGTACAGGGTGCAGTGATGAGTACGATAGTTACAACCAGTTATGAATCTTAGCGCGCCGTGGTAGACAGCATCCAACATCTGCAAAGAGCTAGCAGGGGCATTCATGTAAATAATGTCACCATAGTCAATGGCCGGTAAGAAGATAGCAGTTACAAGGTGTTTTCTGGCATTCAGAGTTAACAAGATCTATTTCTGAAAGAGAAACCCAGTTTTAATTTCAGTTTCTTTATCAAGTTTATGATATGTGGTTTAAAAGAGAGAAGTGCATCAACCAAGATGCCCAAGTATTTGTAAGAATCTACAAACGCAATAGAAACACCATGCATGGATGAGATAGGAGGAAGAGTTATTGGCATGACTTTCTGTTTGAAAACAACATCCCTTTGGTTTTGTCAGCATTTAGCACCAGCTTGAGACGGAATAAGTCTGAATAATGTCGAATGCAGACTGTAGAAGCTGGAAAATCTTGACAACTGTGTTAGCTCAGCAATAAACAACAGTGTCATCAGCATAGAGATGCAAGGATGTGTCAGGAATGTTTTGACCTACATTATTTGTATAAATTGTAAAAAAGAGTGGGTCCTAAAACTGAGCCTTGTGGCACACCATTAGTGACCGCTAGGTAGCTAGATGAAGTACCGTTATGTCGAACACATAGCCTCCGACCTGAGAGATAGATTGAGATCCAACCAACAGTGTGATCTGAGAAGCCAATATCTGAGAAAGAAATCTGTCCTGACATGGAAAAACACACAGATTGTATTTATATATCCATATTTGCACTTTTGTGTTGCGTGTATGTCAGGTCGGAGATCATCGTTCCATCTAGAGTGTCTCAGGAGACACTCAAGACCAGACATTTCCCAGAAGACGTCCGTCCCCTTGCATCTTGTACATCAACAGGTGCTAATCAAGAAAAATGTTCTTTAATGATTATTTTATGCTGAATCTTTGGTGTAACCCCCTTTCTGCTCCTCTGTTCTCTTTTCTCCCAGGCTCTGGCCGTAGCAGGGTTAAGTCCGCTACTGAGGAGGAGTCACTCACCCACTCTTTTCAGTCGGCTGTGCTCCACACCTCCAGCCAGCTCCACAGGTACATAATCAAGATCATCAAAAAGAGTTTAGATAAGATTTTTCCACAAGGCTAAAATAAATCAGAAACACCAGAGCAAGAAAGTTTGAAGTGCGCCATATTAAAACATTGCCGTAGTTTTTGTTGAGATACGTTTCTAATCCTGTTTTTCCTTTACCAGCTCAATGTAGTGATGCCTCCTACCAGCGAGTTCCCTCTCTGAGGCTAGACGGTGCCAACTCTCATGAAAAGCTCAACGCAAGCTTGCCTTCTGTCAACTGTGGGCCCTGGTGAGATTTAGTACATTTCTGTAGCAGCTACAGAAGCACAGACATGTTTTTATTTAACAAATGCTTTGGATACAGGTACAGCGACAGTAATGAGAACAGCCCAGTATCCAGCCCCAGTCCCCCGCCGAGCAAGTTGGTGTCCGGTCAAAGAGCGCCACGGCCGGTGTCGCTAACAGTGCCCTCTCTTGTGAGGAAAGACTCCGGCTCGCTCTCTCACGGCAGCGCAGGCAGTCTGGTGGAAGCGGTGAGTTTTAGTCTTGACATGTTTAAATCACAGCCAGCCTCCTACTTTAACAAGAAAATAATTCAAAATCTCTTTAACTCCTCTTTGCCTTTTTCTGTATCTCCTTAAGGTTCTAATATCAGAAGGTTTGGGTCATTTTGCCCAGGACCCATCGTTCATCGAGGCAACCAAAGCCGAACTGGCTGACGCCTGTGACATGACCATTGAGGAGATGGAGCACGCGGCCAACAACATTCTCAACAGCAACACAACCACAAACACCCCATCCAGCACCTCTTCAACTTCTCAGCACAGCCCTAATGGCAGCCTCCCCTTCCACAGAGCAGCAGCAGCAACACATAGAGACCGAGCTGTCAGCTTAAGCCCCGGAGAAGGCGGGGCCGAGGCCGGAGGAAGCAGAGGCTACGTCCACGAGCCGTCCTCTATAGAGGAGCGGCAGGAACTGCTTGCCAGTGGGAGAGGGCAAGAAGAGGAGGAGGAGGAGGCAGGAGGGAGGGACGAGAGGCATCACATAGGTTCAGCTGTGATTGCAGGAGTGCTGCAGAACAACAGCGAGCTTTTAGAGGATGAGGATATGGAGTGTGTGACGAGCTTGTAGGTGTTGCCTCGTTATGTCAAACGAGCGAACAGGCCGCTCTGACATCATCAGAGACCGATGGCCCGTCAGCGCTGGCTCACAGTGCCACGGCTGGCTCTGTTTGTCCCCACGCCTCACAGACTCTGTCGCTCTGGACAGTGGCGGCCAGCGATGCAACCTTCAACACATGGATATGACTCGGTTGGCTTAACTGAGTCAGTATGTGTGTGAATGTTTGCAGTGAAGTATATCAGACTATTTGATCTGACTGAATGCCTGTGTGTGTTTGTGTGTGTGAGAGATTTTCTGTGTTTGTACTTGTGTGTGTGTGTTCACCACACGTGTCTGAGTGTGGCTCTAAAGTGCCTCACAGTTTTATCATGTCCTCAAAGTGTGAAGAAGCAGAAGGTAGAGACAAGCAAAAAAAAATAAAATAAATGCCTGATTAAAAGAAAGGTATCACAGTGGCAGGAAATCCTTTTATGGGTTTCCTTCAAATGATATCAGTATTTTCATTTCTTTTGCCTACTTTGGTGTGTTATTGTTGTTTGTCTGGCCGCCATGATGCCAGGTAGGGGACAGCAGACCAGCTTGTGCAGGCGTCGGTTAAGGATTACCTTTTAACCAAAACCACTTGAGGTCAAAGGTCCAACTCCTTCTTAGCTCATTGACGATGAAGCGCTGTATTGTGTAGAGCAGGGGCAAGGCAAACCCTGTTTGAAATCTCATTTCTCCTCCTCTTCCAAAGCTACGGAATCGTGGAGCACAGCCCTGCCAGCACTGGAGTGGAATTAAGGTGACATGCCACCATCCAGCCATGTGGGGGGGTGGAGGGTCTGAGGGATGGTTCAACAGCAAGAAGAGGGCTGCTACAGGGGGACACAGGCAGAGAAAGGCACTTCCTGGCCAACAGGGAGCTAGCTTTTATTTTATTTCTTCCAACTGGTTAGTAGGACTCCAGCAAGACTCACCTCGTCTGTCACCTTGCTCTGGCTCCACCCCCTCCACCCTTTTCTTCGTTTGGCCACACCCATTTTCTGCCCCAAACAGGAAATGAGAGGAGCGTTTGATGGCTCAGTAGCAACAGCAAGCCCTCTTCTCTGCCTCATACCTCACTGTTTCTCGCTCCTTTCTCTATCCTTCCTCCCTCGTTTTTGGCTGTGTCACCATCACTCACCCCTCATCGCTGGATTTTTTTTTTTTCTTTTTCTTCTTCTTCTTTTGCAACACGCGAGGAGGTATTGATTTGTCATGCAGGGCAGCCTAGACGGTAGAGTAGAGGAGAGAACAGGAATGATCGATTGAAAAGAAACGTGACTCCGGCCATGGGGCCACACCAGATCTGCTGTCAATCAATCTCACTTCCTTCTCTGAGACCCTCCTCTTCCTCTCCACTGGGATTCCTGTTGGATTTGCTGCCACATACTATTTCTACAGACCACGCCCACTATGTATTTAACGGTTCAATATTGTGCAAAACTGGCTAGCCATGACTATTTTGTTTTTATATTCATGACTTTGTTGATTTAATTTATCCTTAATTTGTTTGCACAATTGGGGTGCTGGTCTTATAAATGTATTTTTGCTCAATTTATTTTAGGACAATTTTAAGAGGTTTTAAGTATTGAAGCAGGGCGTAGTGTGCGAGCGTGCATTCGAGGGCATATTTGTGCGTGTCTGCATTTTAGTACAAGAGTGTGTGAGATGGCGTGTTTCTCTATCTGTATGCACCTTTTACAGATTGTATCTATTTATTTATTTATTTTTTCCAGAAGAGAAAAAAAAAGTGTGAGGATGAGTGAGTGGTTTCTTGAGTATTCTGAAAAGCTTATTTTAAGCCTAAACAATTAAGGTAGCATTACAAGTATGTTATTGTTTGTGTGCGTGTGTGTGTTGTAATGGGCCTCCTTAACACAGGGTTACCGTGGACAGGCATGCTTCCAAAGCTTTGTGATTTCTTTAGCACGATTTGTACTTTTTTTAAAACAAGCTGCAGGGTGAGAAGTCACTCTTTCTTTGAATATTAGCCATCGCAAAACTTTACTTTACCGTCCGATTCAGATTAGTTTGTTCTGCAACAGGATCAAAGTGAAGAGTACATTTCTGCACATCATTAACCAGAAAGTATAAACCTTTATTAGCAGTTGTTCCTTTTTTTTTTTTTTTTATTATGCGCTGATTGACAGAAGCACCAAAATTTTCACTGCCACGGTGACGCCTTGTGACAGAGCCAGGGGGGTTTTGGGGGGCCCTCCTGCTCACTTGGCTTTATCACCTTCATACAACGTAACGTTGTCGTTTGGCAAACATTTAAACTCCACATAAGTAATTAGGGCTGGTGTACTATTGCTGCAAAATATCAAACCTCCTTGTCTTAGTCTCATAATATAAAACTTTTTAATTTTTTGGGTCGTTATAAACATTTTTTTAACTAATTTTAGTGATTGCTGGAAAATCAAGGAAGGATTTTGCAGAAAATTATTCATCACATGTGATTGTTGTTGGTTTAAACTGAACTAAATTGGCTAAGACTCATACAGCTGTCATCTTCAAAGGATAATTATATTCTGTGGGGCTTTTACTTTTTTCCTCCTAATAAACTCTAGATCAGGGGTCTGCAACCTGCGGCTCTGGAGCCACATGTGGCTCTCGGTACCTCTGCAGCAACTCTTTCAGGCTTTGAACAAAACTAAAATAAAACTGAATTTTATTGAAATTATTATCAACAATGAAAATGTCATTTTCAATTATGTGAAGGATAACACAAATACAAGGCGTAAAACGTGGACTACATCATGCTAGCAGTTTGTTAGCCACTTCAAGTTGACTTCCAGTCTCACAGCGTGATCTTTCTCTCAAAACCACCAGAATGTTTTGGAATATCTTTAAGACAAGTTGCTGAGAAAGAATTTGGTGAGTAACTTTGATAATACTAAGAATAAAACACAAAAAACAAAGTCAAAGTAAATGCAAGTATTTATTTTTCTTTAAAAATGTAATTGGATATCCAACAAACTGGCCTAATTTCATACTGTTTTTAACTTTACGCTTTAAGTAAGATAATTAATTCTTCAACAATTAAGAAAACTCCCATCGGCCTGAAGAGATCAGTGTTTAAATTGTTATAAAATTATTACAAATTATATAGTTTTTCTTTCTTTATGTGAATCTGGCCTTTAATTTTGTATTAAAATGTAAAACTACCAATAGATTTTAATAATAGTTAGACATTTTTCGTTTTATAATATCACCCCCACTGGCCAGAAAAGCCATCTCCAACAACCTTGTAATGGCCCACGGGCCACCAGTTGACAGTACACAGTTGTAGCAGGTTTTTCAGAGCTGGACACACTGTAATTAACTAATGGAGTGGGTTAACTAAAGCAAAGTGTGGGGGGGGGGGGGGGGGGAATGGCTCTTTTTATCGCAAAGGTTGCAGACCTCTGCTCTAGAAGATGAGATTTTTACCAATTCACTTAAGATAACGTTGATGCAAGATGGGATGTCCATGCCACGGCTCAGTGGTCTCTGTTTGCATTCGCAAGTATTTCTATTCAATGCAGTATTATCTTATTATCATGTCGACATTTTCACAATTTAAAATGAAAATAAAAGCATTAGACAAGGAAAGTGTTATCCTCCAAGTAATTCAGATGTGTTTTGAGACACATTTCTATGAATTAAACTATTTTAAATGTGTAAAAAGCCCTCACAGAAACACTGTCAGACAGGCCCATAAGTTCTTTCTTTGGTTTAGCTCTAATTCCTCCACATAAAGCAGAGCGGGTTTGTGGCAGGGACGAGTATGCATAAACACACTGCCATATACCCTGCATCCTGTGCCAGGAACAGACTTCTGTCATTATTATGCAATCTAAATGTGAATGTTGAGTGTTGTTTAAGTGGCGTTTTGTGGTTACCGCAAGAAAATCTGTTTTCACTCCCCCCAACAAATCCATCACAGAGATATATTTAGCATTTCTTTAAATTGTTCTGATTTAAATTAATCGGGAATCTGGCTAGTCGTTGTGTGGCAAGCGCTTAAGGATATTTCCGGTGAGGTCTAAAAGACTGGATGTTTGTGCACAAGGCAAAAATATGACTTCAATTAAAAGCTGCCCAGTCTAACTTGTTCATGTAGACATGGAGACTATTAGCCCAAAATTATCAAAAGATATGTAGACATGTGAAATGTATTTTCTGTATCCAAGCAGCTGCCCGCCTGGCAACTACCATGAATGTTCTTACAGCCGATCATAAACCACATGAACGACAGCAGTAACCTGCACGTCATCTTTGAAACCATCTTCAACCCAAATATGTCACCTTTTTTATTCTAACATGGGTCAGACATGCACAGAGTAACCCCTGCATATCAGAAGTGCCACACCAGGTCTGATTTTTGTCTCTGAGGCTGTCCCATCACCCACTGAGAAAGAACCAGAGCGTTGTGGTGTCCCCGTGTCAAGTTGAGCAGCATTGCAGTTTTTAATGTGATTAGCGTTGAGGTGTTGTAGTATAATACATGCGGGTGTACTCCTGCACAAGATATGCAAAAACAATGCAATAACTATGACTGTGTATAAAGTTCCCGGAGAAAATATATACATATAAAAGTATTAAAGGAGATATAAAGTCATGAAGATGTTTCATTTTTCTGTTTGTTACCTTGTTAAGTGAACTCAGCGGTTCAACAGTAAAATCGACACATACTTGAAATCAGGTACGTCACATGGCAGTTTAGTGAAGATGCATTTATTGGGATGTTGGTCACACAGATCTACTGGAACGGTGACCTGAAAATGGTATTTTATTTTTCAATTTACACAAGTAAATTGAGCGAGAACATTCACCTAGTTTCTTGTTTATTCCAAAACTTTTCACATTCTTTTATCTTGTTTTGTTCCTGTTTTTTTATTGAATGGTTTATCTTCTGGGGATCTAGCATCAGTATTAAACGCCGCTCACATGCTGGTTAGGCGCTCCTGTATTTGTTCTTGTTTCGTTCTGATCAGGTGAAGTGTTCACGTTTTTACAGTGTAGCCTTTTTCCATTTAGTGTTACGAGCACTGTTTTGCATCGAGATTTCTTCTCTTCATGCCTGTTTGGAGTTTTACAGCAGCGGGGAGATATTTAGAAGAGGGTTTTGCATA